TCTTTAAATTCCCTTGTATCTCATGAAATAGTGCTAAATAGCGATTTGAACATGAAATATCTGAAAATTATGGACATATTACACTGAAAACACAGCGCGCCTTTGAAAAATATTGTTGGATTTGCATATCGCCATAATAAATCACCAGAACCACGACCCATATGCAGGGCCCACTCACCCATGCGATTTGGCGCTCCATCCCCTACTCTGATGACTTGCAGACCACAGAAGGTCAATCAGATCATCACATCTAAGTAGCTATTTTTTTGTTGATATGAAAGTACAATGAAACATTCCTGAAAACGATTGAAGACTACAGAATTTCCGTTAATCATAGAGTTATATTCGCAACATAGAAATGCCCATACTTTTTTCTTTCTTCTTTTCTCAAGGTTTTCTTTCTTACCAAGAAAGGCATACGAAATAGGACGGTGGTGGGGTTTAGTATAGGAAGACTAGCCTTTAACCACTCAACTCTTATCATAAATTTACCACTTAAAGGGACACAGTCAGTAAGCTTAAATCAACAATAAGTGTTTCACATTATGCGTACATTATTATGGAACTCTATCAATTCGATCACCAATGGGCCATGAAAATTTTACCGTGAATTTACTGGGTGGGGTCAAATTTCATGACAGGTCTATTCTTTTAAGTGACCTCTTAAAGTTAACAACGGAGGTAAATGACATGCTATTGTTTTTTAACATTTGTTTTGTTTGATGAATTATCAATGCGTATTTGGTTCGAGTGGCTGTATGAAAGAGGTAAAATTGTACAGGATTATTATACAGCTTGACATTTCAAAATAAGACCGTTAGCCGTATTTTATGGCGACCGCATTAACAGGGTTTTCTTATAAGAAATATTCTTATATCCAGTAAGAAAATGGCTGTAATAATGAGGTGACCTAGGGCTGGGTTACAATGTACTCAGCTGCTTTAAACTGCCAAACATATTAACCACGAGCACGGAATTAGAATTTATGACAAGAATGTTTTACTTCGTATTCTTCCAAAGTCAGTCATAACCTTTGTTGAGCACTGTTCCGTGAAGTTGACACACTTTGAGTACCAAAAACTGGTGAGTTGAAAAGTGGGCAACCGTTTTGCGATATCATTGTATATGGTTTCTTTTCTTTTCTTTTAAAAGGTTTGTAATTCGCCGGAAAACGATTTTAAATAATAAGTTTCAAGTAATATCAGATATTCTTTACAAGAAAATTTCGTCTTTTTCGACAATAGCGCCAACACGTGGCATGTTGTAATTTAGTAAAATATAACTTGTGTTTGTGATCTAGAAAAATCTGCCGAGAACCAGTAAAACTCTTTGGATTTTGCTTTCATCAGATTTAAGTAGCTATTTTTTGTTGACATGTAAGTACAATGAAACATTCCTAAAAACACTCGAAGACTACAGAATTTTCGTGAAACGTACAGTTGATTCGCAACATTGAAATGTCCATAGATTTCTTTTTCTTCTTCTCTCAAGATTTTGTTTCTGACCGAAAAGGGCATACCAAATAGTAAAGTGGCATGGTTGAGTATAAGGGGATAAGTCCTTTAACCACTCAACCCTTATTATATATTTACTACTCACGATTTATTTGAAAACATAGAAGCGCTGCTCAGTTTCCACTCATTACTGGTCGCTGTATAGCAACAGTGAAAGCATATGATAAAAAACATGTAAGTAACTCAGGAGGGTGTTTTTTAAAAAGAAATTCATCACATTTTGATTTATTCTTAAGTGGTGGAAGGAAATTAGTTCAGAATTCACGCCCTATATCAATGAGCCTCGACGACTCGTCGCCTCCTTTGTCACCAAAAGGTAAATTTGTTTTTCTAGCTAATAGAATTTTACACACGTCACAAATGATCTGGGAACGTTTTAATAATCATCGCTTGCAACAGAACATGTGTTTACAAACAATGTATAAGGCATCTCGACTCGATATTATTTCAAAAAGGGAAAGTCGTACCTGAAATGTTATAGCATGCTATGTCTAGAAGAAGATCAGACAAGCAGCAATAAAATTGATTCTCTGAATCAAGGCCTTGTTCAGATGTATTTAAGGAGAAAGGCGTCGATTGTGAAGTGTGAGCTAAATTAGAATGAGAATATGATTTATTTCTTCGTTCGTTTTTTCGCTCATTCTTTCGTTTGATTGTTCATTCTTTCTTTCAATAAAGAATTAAAAAATGAAGTCAAAAATATAGCGAATACGGAGTTGACAAATCTCATTTATCGAGTTGAATAAGTTCATTAGCAAGTCGTATTTACCCGTTAGGTGAAATAAAGAGATATAACTTTAATTCTACTTCAACATAAAATTTTCGAAAATTATGGGTAAAAATAAATCTTGCGACCCACAACGCAACTCCCAGGCTGCGAAAGACCAATTATAAGGCGCCATAAAAAAAGTATAAAACATTTTCATCGCTATCAAACAATACAATATGTTCTCAGCTGTTTGGAGCTGCCAAATTTAATTAACCACGAGCACAGAATGCGAATTTATGATACGAACGCTTCGCAAACTTCAACAGTCAGTAATAATAGCCTTTGCAGTGACAACTGTTCCTTGACGGAGACTCACTTTAAGCATCAGTTGTAAAGTAGGTAAACGATTTTCGTTTTTTTTTTTTTCAATATCATTCAAAAGGTTTCATTTCTTTTAAAACTTTTGGAATCCGCCGGAGACCGTCCATAGAAACATGAGGTGTTAAATAACACGATTCAACTAAGTCCTGTTCTCCTTCGCCGCGGTGAACATCGAGATCGAGGTGAAACAAAACTCACTATTTCTCGAGGGAGCAGTCATTAAGGGGAAGATCAGAATCAGCACGAAAAATGATTCTCTAGGAAACCGTTTTTCAATATAATTCGATAGAGTATCACGTCTTTCTAAAGGTTTGTAATTCGCCGAATATTAAACCGTCCATCAAAAGGTTAGGTTCTAAGTAACTTCTTCTGAACGAGGCATGATTGTAAGTTCCTAAAATTGTAATTCTGGTCTAGAAAAGTCCAACCTTTTTCAAATCATTTCCTGGACACTTTTGAAGACTATAGATTTTCGTTAAACGTACAATCATATTCACAACATTAAAATTCAAGTAATACAGAAATGATATACTACTTCCATATGTACGAGAAAAAATCGCCTTATTCGACAATACGGCCTGCCCCTTGGCATGATTGTAATTTCGTAAAATTGTATTTGTGATTTGGTATCTTTAACCTGTCAACGTTTTTTTATTTTATGTTTTTTTGGCCACTTGACTGGAACCGACCATCATATCAGTGATTTAACGAATAAAAATGATGTGTGATTAATCGAACACTTACCATGATTAATTTTAAAAGGTCGTCAAATAACCCTAGGTTGTTCGCTTGCTTTCTTGCTTTCTTGCTTTCTTGCTTCTTCCTGTTCAGAGACAACTGACCGTGGCATTCATATATATTATTTTTAGCATTCTGACAGACCAGGACCGACATGTTCAAGACATTGCTTGTCTTGATGATCGTATGCTTCGCATCTGTATACAGTTCCCCGGTAAGAATTCACGCTATAAAAACACTTTCATGGTGTCTTGTCTTTATTATCCTTTTAATTACTCTAAAGATTATTTAAGGAGCAGTTAGTGGGAGACGCCAGGAAGAAAACCAGGAAGGAGAAATTAACTACAATATGGACATGTAACCGTGTTTAGCTTGAGAGAAAAATTACCTAGTTTGCTGCTCGGGAGAAATACAGATCCTTACTGAAATAATTCTGAAACAATTTAGTTAGCCTGCGAGCGGGTTCTTTATTCTTTCTTTCTTTCTCCGTTTTACCCAACAAATTGCGGCGAGCACGTAATTTTACCAGGTTTATTCAGATGTGCTTTGAATTTCTCTTACCTATTTCATATATTACATCATATTTCTCCCTTAACTTAGGAGTGTTGTTACAATATTTATTAGATTTTAGTTTACAATCAATGCATTAAAATACAGTTGAACCCCGAACTTGCAGGCGAAACGAAAAATTGTTCGAAATGGCGGGAGTTCAAAATAGCTGATAGTATATGATTAAGGGGCAAATCCAATTAAAATGATTTTGAAGTTTGAAATAACAGAGTACGACTTGGCTGGGTCTAACTGTAATTCAGAATTAAATGTTCTTTCTCGGCTAACCAACTTTTGTTTTCACTTCAATCCGCAGTTTTTATATCAGCCGCCAAATGGTAAGTTAAGGCTATATAATTTCTTGATTTAGGTTAGGTTAAACAGGTGTTTCAGTCATTTCAATCTTTTGTTAAACTCTCCACTTATATCACTCCCAACAGTTGACAGAGTTATACATCTTTACGCTAATCAGTATGCAAAGGCGAAAATTGGTTGGAGATTATTCAGAAGCTAGAACCAGGATAAGGAAATAGTACCAGGAAAGGCTGAAGGTCAATTTAAAAAGATTAACTTAAGAGAGTTAATCCCTTCATAAAGGCCTTGATAGAGCAATGCATTTTCACAGTAATGTTGGGCAAAGGTCAACATTGGTAAAAATTATAGAGTCAAGTTCTGCCATAATAGGGAGATAGCCTTTCTTAATTGAGCATGAGGTTAACTAACGAGCGTTAATCCCTTTTAGACCTTATTCTCTGGGTAATTCTTCTCACGTTATTTTTAGATATGGCGTCCAGTTCTCTACCAGGTGGATTTCGTATTGCCGGTTAAAAATTAAAATTAACAATCCCTCTGAAATCGAAGTTTAAGTTTTATCAGATGTAAGACCCTCTATAATAACGTTTAAGCTCGACAGCGATCCTCAGTTTGTTATAGAGGACGTGAGGTCTCATATGAATGGCTTAAAACCCTGATCAATGATCCTGATCCAGATCACCCAAAGGAACGCACCCTAAAATAACCTGAGAGGGAGTCCCTTGGGAATGAGGGGGGGGGGTTAAATCTTTCACCCTTCATCCTGTCTCGCCTTTGGAAAGCGGAAGGAATAGGAATGGCGAATCATTCATCCTTTCCTGATACGATTTCAATCAATATTTTTTATTGTTGTTATAATTTTCTTTAGTACATTTCCGTCCATAGTTCTGACTGTTAATATTCATACATGGCTCAATTTTATCACTCTCCGCAGGGAACTGTGAATGCATACACCCAGAGCACTGTGGCCATTATAACAAATGCCAAGGTGCCATCTGCTCTCTAATCAGATCCTGTTGTCTTTGTAGTTGTGAAACAGCTGTTTGCAAAGCCGAGGATATTTTCGGCTGATTTTGATGAAATCAAAGATGAATTAAACTAATTCATGAAATGTGGCATGTACTGAACGTATAAAACGAATAAAACTGGGTTAAACCATTTGTATCACTAGATGGGTTGTGGGTATCTTACTAGTGGATAAGAAACAAAGAAATGTAGTACAGTCCTGATGGCTATAAAAAATCGTCACGGTAACAGTAATGTCGAGGGAATAGAAAGCAGGGCACTTATTTCATAACACCATTGAGTCAAGAGTAGCTGTAATATTTATCTTGTCTATGCATTATAACTGCCACTGTGTGTAAGGGTAATAGAAGGTCTCAATACTTTATAATTGTTTAGTTTTACAGTGTTTTTAATTTCCATTGTTTTTGTTTGTTTTGTTTTTATCCTATACGAATATTGGAATTGAACAAAATCCACCATTTAGCAGATCTGTAACAGAATGATAAAAATTGAGGACGAACGTTAAGAGAGGTAGTCCCTCTTGCAGGCCTTATTCCGACTGTAGTTCTCCTCGCGTTATCAATTCCTAGATTACACCCGACTTTTTAAATCCCAAGAGGATCTAGACATAGTTAATTTTTAGACGAGAATTTACACCTACCCGGCTCTACACGCATTGACATCCTCCAAGTTAAAATATACGCAACGCGCGCGCTAACATCCTCGTGGGAACAAGGTACCGGCTATAGGAGAATCTTTGCTGACGTGATTGTTTACATTTTTCCTCTTTAACATACGACTACGAATTAACTACAAACATTGAAAGAGCTTGTGAAACTTCGTGATTGGTGACATTTGTTGCTCTTTCGGTGTAATATTTGAGGATAAATTGGCTTTCAAAAACTGCAAAATTTCTGGGTGGCAAAAGCGCTAATGAGCTCATACATTCTTTGCAAAATTTGAGGTTTTAAACCCGCGTCGCTGAAAAAGTTTTTAATACATTGGGCTCAAATTCCTTGGGACAATTAAACGTGTCGTGTGTGTGTGCGTGTGTGTGTGTGTGTGTGTGTGTGTGTGTGTGTGTGTGTGTGTGTGTGTGTGTGTGTGTGTGTGTGTGTGTGT